ACCAGTGTTATGCCTGCATATATGTACAATACCCTCTGAGGTCAGAAGAGGGCATTGGATACCCTGGAACTAGTTATAGACGGTTGTTAGCTGCCGTGTGGGTGCTAGGATTCACACCCAGGTCTTCTGCAGGGGCAGCCAGTGCTGTTAATCACTGAGTCATCTCTCCAGTCCTACCTTTGCCTTTTTTTTGGGGGGGGGTCTCTTTTTTGAGACAGGGTCTCCCTGTAGCCCCAGCTGGCCTGGTAGACCAGGCTGGCCAGGATCTCAGAGAGATCTTCCTGCCTCTGCCTCCCAAGTGCTGGAGCAAGAGCCACCACACCCAGCATACATTTACCTTTTTTAACAGAACCAAACATTGTTTTGTAGGACAGAGTAGAAAACTTCCCCTCACACTATCACCCAGATCAGAGGGAAAGTGGCAGAGACTCAGGCACACATATTGCCAGAGGCCACACTTTGCAAAGTCCAAAGGGCTGCTGGGAAAATAAAACCTAGCAGGTTTCAGTTCTTCCAGGGAAAAGGAAACATCTCAAGTCACCTATGTGGCCCCTGCCCTTGGAACCAAGGAACTAAGTAGTCCCACAACTTCTTAGGAAGTGGTTCAGAGGACCTGGCCTGAAGTCCCCCAATGGAACTGTCATTATGAGGTCACCTACAGCAAGGTCATGCCAAATTGGGAAAGGGAACCTCTGCTCTGCACACAATCCCATCTAGTGGCAGGTGCTTCTGGAAAGGATTCACTTTTTTTTTTTTTTTTCGGTCTTTTTGAGACAGGGTCTCCCTGTAGCCCCAGGTGTCCTGGAACTCACTATGTTGACCAGGCTGGCCTTGAACTCACAGAGATCCACCTGCCTCTGCCTCCTAAGTGCTGGGATTAAAGGCATGCACCACTATGCCTGGCTTATTTATTTTTGTGTGTATGAGTGTATTGCCTTCATGTAGGTAAGTGCGCCCATGTCATGCAATGCCTGGGGAGGACAGAAGAGGCCATCGGATCCCCTGGAACTGGAGTTGTTAGCTGCCATGTGGGTGCTGGGATTCAAACTCCGGTCTTCTGCAAGAACAACTGGTGTTCTTAACCACTGAGCCATCTCTCCAGCCCCCAGGGTTCACTTTTTATTGTGGACATTTTTGGCTCCTTAAAAAATATCATTGACAGGGGCCAGTAAGATGGTTCAGTGGGTTAAGGTACTTGCTACCAAGCCTGATGGACTCAAGTTAGATCTCCAAAATGCATCATAGAACTTGACTCCTGAAAGTTGTCCTCTGATCTCCACAAGAGCATGGCCATACAGCCCGGGACTGAACTCATCAGGCTTGGGAGCAAGTGTCTTTACACACTGGGACATCTCACCAGCCCTAACATATTACTCTTTAACCCATTACACAAGCATTTGACTGAGGCACAAAAACTCACTGGCCCACACACAGCTATATGGTAGAGGCAGGGAGGAGCTCAGCCATCTGGAAGGCTTCCCTCTCAACAGTTATGAGGGTGACCTCTGGGGAGAAGGGGAAAGTGGATACAGCTGACATATCCAAAAAGCATCTCACGTTTCTCTCCAAAATCCTGAGTGTAGCCTTGAGGGCAGCTGCTGGGATTATGAGCCAAGCAGGCCGCCGGGGTGCCTAATGCAGTGAGAGGCAGGGAGGAGCTCAGCCATCTGGAAGGCTTCCCTCTCAACAGTTATGAGGGTGACCTCTGGGGAGAAGGGGAAAGTGGATACAGCTGACATATCCAAAAAGCATCTCACGTTTCTCTCCAAAATCCTGAGTGTAGCCTTGAGGGCAGCTGCTGGGATTATGAGCCAAGCAGGCCGCCGGGGTGCCTAATGCAGTGAGGGGTTTTTTTTTTTTTTTTTTTGAGATAGGGTCTCCCTTGTAGCCCAACTCATGATCCTGATCCTCCTACTCAAGGAGTAGTTATAATTTCAGGTATGCAACACTACCATGCCCAGCTCAAAATGCAAGATTTTGAAGACAGCAGACGGGACAGGCAAAAGGTGTTTGCTGCCTGAGCTCAACTGCTGGGACCAAGATGGAAGGAGTGAACTGGCTCCCCAAAGTTGTCCTCTGGCCTTAGTGCATGCACGCACGCGCGCGCACGCGCACACACACACACACAATTACCAATAAATGTAATAAAATTATTGCGCAACACTGGTGCACTTACCTACATACAGGCAATGCACACATACACATAAAGTAAAAATAGTATTTTTTTAAAACTGAGTATAGCAATGTTAGCTATTGTTTACTCATTTGACACAGGGTCTATGTAGCCCTGGTGGCCTGAACTCACTATGTAGACCAGGCTGACTGAAAACTCAGAGATTCACCTGCCTCTGCCTCCCGGGTGCTGGGATTAAAGATGTGCGCCACCATGCCCAGTAAGCTAATGCGTATTAAACTTTTTTGACTTGGCAAGCCTCTACTTCACGTACAGAGGGGCTAACCAGCACCTTTCAAGCTACACATTAAGTTGGGCATGGCAGCACACACCTTTAATCTCAGCACCCAGGGGGCAGAGGCAGGAAGATCTCTACGAGATAGAGGCTAGTCTGGTATAGAGTGAGTTCCACGTAAGCTGGGACTACAGGCAGACTGCCACCCCCAACCCCCCAAAAAACCTAAACAAACCATATTTGTATTTACCAAAACAAGGAAAGAAACCAGAAAAATGTGACGAGGGCTACAATTCAGTGGTCGAGCACTTGGCTAGCATATGTAAGACAGGCCCTGGGAACCATCCCCAACATGGGGGTGGAGAACACGGGACAGCCGCAGTCTACCCTGCAAGAGGAAAGAGCAGTGGAATGGATAGAGCTAGGACACGATAGAATAGTACTTGCACATTTTTTTTTTTTTTTGTCTTTTTGAGACAGGGTCTCCCTGTAGCCCCAGCTGTCCTGGAACTCACTATGTAGACCAGGCTGGCCTTGAACTCAGAGGGATCTGCCTGCCTCTGCCTCCCAAGTGCTGGGATTAAAGGCGTGCACCACCACGCCCAGCTATTTTATTAATTTTATGTGTATGAGTGTATTGCCTGCATGTATTGTGAGTGCACCGTGTCATGCAATGCCACACAGGTCAGAAGAGAGCTTCGGTTTCCCTGAAACTGGAGTTAAGGATGGTTCATAGCTGCATGTAGGTGTTGGGAATCAAACCTGTGTCCTCTGCAAGAGCAGTCAGTGCTCTTAACCGCTGAGCCATCTCTCCAGCCCCACTTGCACATTTTTTAAAGGCAGGATCTCATCTCTGCAGCCTAAGCTGTTCCCATCATAACCCATTTTTTTTTGTATTTTAAAAAAGGTCTTGTACAAATCCCAGGCTAGCCTTCAACTTCTGATCCCCCTGCCTCCACCTACTGGCTGCTGGGATTACAGGTGTGTGCCACCATGCCCAGCTCTGACCTGCGGATTCCTACTTTTGTGTAGTCTGTCCCCAGCATGCATCCAGGCCTCAATGGCCAAGACAGCACTTCACAGAAACTGGCTCCCATGCATAGGAGAGGTGTGGACTGGAGTAAAACATACTGTGATTCTGGGTGATTCCTGTGCCTCTGAAGATCAGGTCCTCTTTCCCAGGGCAAGAGGGAAAGGTGGGCAGCACACCTTCTAGAGGTTCTTGAAGTGACTTCCTGAGCACTTAGGGACATCCATTCTGTAACAAACTTGTAATCCAGAGGTACATGGAAACCTGAAAACTAGAACATTTCTCGCCTGGGGCAGGCAGCTGCCAGTAGCACCTCCTCTGACTCCTGGGCTCTCCAGGGGTCCTCAACCTCTGCCAGCAGAGATATAGGGTCTAAGGGGCACACAGCATTCTAATTTTGCTCTAAGTTCAGGAGCACCTGCTCCCCCTTGTGACCAAGGCTGCACACTGCAAAGGCAAAGGTGTCAAAGGTTTCCAAGACCCTGTGAGATGCACCCCAAAGACTCCAGAACAGGGTCCAGTTCCCCTGCCTAGAAACAGGCAAAGGGCTGATTCATGCATATTACTCTGAAGCGAGCAGAGGATGAGGAGTGAGATGAGCTGGAGCTGATGGTGCAGAGGGAAACTCCAACTCCAGGAGCCCTATGACTGACTCACTATTCATCACTTATCCAACTCCCTGCTTGACTGGCTGGCCCTAACGTGATCTTCTTGCCCCAGCCTCTCAAACAATGTTACAGAGGTGCCCACCACCCACTTCTGAGCACAATGCCAGGCAGTCTCAGAACACCTTCTTTTTTAAAATCATTTTTTTATGTGCAATACATGTATTGCCTGCATGTAGGTAGGTGCACCTGTGTCATGCAATGCCAGTGGAGGTCAGAAGAGGCTGTCAGATCCCCTGGGACTGGAGTTACTGACAGTTGTTAGCTGCCATGTGGGTGCTGGGATTCGAACCCAGGTCTTCTGCAAGAACCAGTGTTCTTAACCACTGAGCCATCTCTCCAGCCCTGACATTTTTTTGGTCTTTTTGAGACAGGGTCTCCCTGTAGCCTCAGCTGGCCTGGAACTCACTATGTAGACCAGGCTGGCCTTGAACTCAGCAGAAAGAGCAAATCCAAATCAACAAAATCAGAGATGAAAGGGGAAACAGACACCCCAAAGACCCAGACCATTATAAGGGAATATTATCATTTTTTTTGTCTTTTTGGAACTCACAAAGATCTGCCTGCCTCTGCCTCCCAAGTGCTGGGATTAATGGTGTGCCCTACCACGCCCACACCTGGCTTATTTACTATTTTTATTTTATGTGTGTGTATTGCCAGGGCACCTTCTTAACTTCATGTCATCCTGTTACAACAAAAGCAGCCACTACACTGCTGATTCTGCATCTGGTGGAAGCATCTAGCATACTGTCTGCGGTCTGACTCCTGCTGCATTATTAAGACAAAAAGGGGAGGCCCTCTGAGGTGTGTAGGAGCATGGAGTGAGATTCTTCAGGTTTGGAGAAAGTGTGCTTATGCACTCAGAAGTTTGTAAAGGAGAAGAAAAACAGGCAAATCAAAGAAAGTAACTTTATTATTGTTCCTTATTAAAACAATCAAGGCAACTCTCAGAAATATGTAAAATTCAACAGCTGCAACTCAGGAGTAAGAATGGCGGACTTGGCCCTCCAACCCAAGGCCTCTGCAGAGCCCTGGACCTAGGATCTGGGGTCGGTGGTTTTGCCCTGGCTCTCAAATCTGCCTTTGTTTGAGACATGGTCTCAGTACATTATGAAGGCAAGGCTGGCTTCAAAAGTTATGCAATCCTTCTGCCTCTGCCTCCCAAGTGCTGGGATTACAGGCTTGCACCACCACACCTGGGCTGAATCTGCAGTTTTTTAAAAACAATTCCACTAAGATTTAACTTGTTAAGACAACCTGGTAACAGTTTCTCCCTTTGAAAATCCAGGCTGGAACCTGACAAAAGGTCAACAAAAAACTAAGGGCTGCTGTCAGGCCCTCAGGAGTTGGTAGACGTGGGCTTCTACTGGGCGCCAATGGGATGGGTCTCACTCCCTCTGGGGTTCTTCTGCTCTTCTTGCTGACATCAGGTAGGGATAAGGAGTCAGTCCAAAAGGTAACAAGAAGCTCCTGCACGAGGAGGCATGCCTTCCAGGCATCTCCACCCTGCAGAGGGCTGGTCCCACTTTGGCAGCACAGGGAGCAACATCAAAGGGCTGCTATGTGGTGAACACTCAGGAGCTGACAGAGCCCTGATTTCTGTTGGGATGAAGGCAAGACATCCCTGCCTGAAATCCTCATCAGAGATGCCTTCTGGGAGGAAGGGACAGGAAACAGGGTGGGCTTCCAGCCTGTGTGCATCTCAGGCTCACTTGGGACCCAGGCACTCCACAATCCCACTCCCTTTCATGCCGTCGAAAAAGAAAAAGTTGTTGAGAGGAGGGTCCCGCTGAGACAGGGCCTGGGGAGAAAAAGAGAAGAGGCTCAGCTCAAATGCATTAAAAGGACACATACAGAACAAAACAAAAATGAAAGATCTTCTAAAAGTGAGCTGCGAAAAATTTAAATGAAAATTATGAGAATAAAAGTCAGCGAGATGGCTCAGCAGGTGAAGGTGGTTGCACCAAACCTGAAGACTCAAAATTGATCCCTGGAACTCATGTGGTGGAAGGGGAGAACTGACTCCTGCACTTGTCCTCCGACCTGCACACATGCCCCAACACCCCACAAAAATAAACAAGTACGTGTAAAAATGATCTAGGGCAGTGGCCCTCTAGGGTTGATTTTGCTCCCAGGTGCTGTCTGTCTCTGCTGTCCCTGTTTCTTGGCAGGTCACTCTGACGCTTACTTTCTCCATGTACAGTGAGAATGGCAAGTGAGTCTGGTTGAGGATCATGAGAGAAAATGAACCTTGAACATTGAAGACAGCGCCACCGGGGTGGCTGACACTCATAGTCTTGACTGCTCAGCGTGGCTTGGGCTACAGTCTTCCTCACCCAAGTGACTTCTGACAGAGGTAGCTCCTTCGTGAGGACACAATGATGTTCAGCAGGCCAGGACAGGGCTGGAATCTAAGCTCAGGGTTCAAGGTCCCCACTACAAGCATGGAGACTGTGGAGCTGAGTTAAACTCAAGCCCCACAAAGCTTACTGACAGACATGTTGCTAGTCATGATGGATGCTGAGACAAACCTTGCCCTCACGGAGCTTGATCACACAGAGGCTTGCTGATAAAACGAACAAACAGTACCCTGTGTACTTGAGTTTTTGGTGGGGATGAAATGTAATGAGGTTTGTAACATGCCTGACACGTAGTAACTTTCCAGTAACCAGAGCTGTTATTACGAATGGGCGGCTAGGCATCCGAGGGCAGCACAACCAGGTAAGGGAATACCAGCACAGTCAGAACTCCTAGACATTCGAACCAAATTAGAGATGATCCATGCCCCTTTCCTTTATTTTTGGACTCGGTGTGGCTATGCTGATGGGAGCCTTGGTCTCCTGGGTTCCATGAATATGTGTTTCTGTCCCCTGGCAGCTTGACCATGTTTTAACATGGGGTCCGCTATGGCTGCTGCCTTCACTGTTGCCTCTACCACTGTGGGCAGGAAGGCATGGACCATGGGGATAAAGGGACAGCAAGGATCACTGAAGCCTAAAGGAGCTGCCAGGACAGGAGAGTCTAGAAGGATGCAAGGGAGGGAGGGAGGGATACAGGAAGGAGGGAGGAAGAGCTGATCCCCTTAGGATTTTTACATACATACATACACACACACGCACATGCACTCACACATGCCTCCAACTCGTGGACTTTTTATAGTTGCTCAGATGAAGGCCTCAGATGCATGGACTCCTGCCAGCTGGCTGAAGGGTGGTAAGCAGGGGGAGTAGAGGGGATGAAGGGGTAGGGCACAGGGTGAATATGGGGCAAAAGGTAAAGCGTTTCCCCAGTAAGATGGGGTACGAGATTCCAAACACACCCAGCAACCAAGAATGCAGAATGCTCTGGCTGTCTGGGGTAAACAGAAACAAGATGCTGAGCAACAGCTGTGGCCAGCAGGCAGGAAGGAGGGGGCAGTGTTAGCACAGGGATGTGGAGAAGCCTTTGTGAACAATGGGTCTAGGCCACCTGCCCCAACTTCCATTCCCCAGTACAAACTGGGTACAGCCTCTCCATGGGCTGAGGGTGAGGCAATGGCTCTGGGCACCATGCCAGTCTTTGGATGGGTATGGTTAGGGCAACACCTGCAGCATAACATCAAGTGCTGAAGAGAAGACTCTTGGCTCTACCACTTCCTATTGTGGGCAAGAATTTCACCTCTTAAAAGTCTGGTGTGGTGGAGTACTTGGGAGGCTGAGGCAGATCATGGGTTTCAGGCCAGCCTGGGCCACACAGTGGGATCATGCTTTAAAACAATCAGCTCTGGCTCTCTGCACCCCAGTTAGCTCCTTCAGAAATCAGGGATGGCAATACCTCCTGTCCCACAGGGTTGTTGACCTAAGTCATTCTGTCTCCAGGTTCCTCTCACTGAGGACTGGGTAATGGCTGACATGGTGTCATTACAAAGGGCTGAACATAACCACCGTACACGGCCTGCCCACCAAACCTTTTGGTGCCCAGAACACAGAAGCAGATGAAATTTGGGCAAATGAGTTTAGCCTAGAAGCATTTTCTCAACAAAGGAGGAAACAGAAGTCACAGAAGATGGTAGAGCTGTGGATATGTCCAGTGCCTCTAGAGAGCAGACAAACCCCCAAATAGTGCCAAGAACCTGCGCCTCTAAATTGTCCTCCGAGGTGAGAACTTGACTTGCAGAGATGGCGAGATCACTTACCAAGCATGCCTTTGCCTGTGAGAAAAGGACAAGCCACTACTGCAGCCTAGAAGCTGCCAGAGCATGGTGGCTCAGTTTGCAATGCCAGTCCTCAGCAGGCTGAGGCAGGAGAACCACTCAGAGTTCAAGGTTAGCTTGGTCCAAGGCCTGAGACCTGGCCTCTAAAAACCAGCAATGGAAATTTTAAAAATGTGTTGCTAGGGCTGGAGAGATGGCTCAGCAGTTAAGAACACTGACTGTTCTTGTAGAAGACCCAGGTTTGAATCCCAGCACCCACATGGCAGCTAACAACTATCCGTAACTTCAGTTCCAGTGGATCCGACAGCCTTTTCTGTCCTCCGTGGGCATTGCACGACACGAGTGTACTTAACTTACGTGCAGGCATAATACTCATACACATAAAATAAATAATAAAATATTAAAAAAAAAAAAAAAGTGTTGCTAGAAATGAAACCCAGGGCCTTGGGCATGCTAAGCACATACTTTACCACTGAGCTACACTGCAGCCCTGCATAAGACAAATTTAACAAAGTTGGGCAAATACCAGAATCTCCAAAGGAAGTAAAATGTCAAGGTCAGCCATAGTTCTAGCAACCCAATCATCCCGGAAGAGACTTGAAAGGCCATCCTACTTCCTGGAGATTGTTCTCCTCTGAGATGCTAACTGCCATTTAATGAGTCTCATGCAGCTGCTGGTAGAGTACACGTGCCCCCCACAGATACCGAATTTACTCCTCTTACAGACACAGCATAGGGTTAAGAGAGGGGGCTCTGATGTTGCTGTGGTAGATGGAAGGTAAGGGCACAGGTTGAGGCATCTTTTCTGGGTCTCTAATCTTCTTCTTAAATTGGGGCCTCAATATACTCACACAACTGAGAAGAAACTGGTACTATACAAAGATCTGGATAACAGGTTTTCCACAGGCCACTTGCTGGAAGCCCCATGGGTGGGCCAGATGGGAACCAGGATATGCACCAAGTATGAGGGGGGAGAGGGCAGGCAGCTCTGAGCCAGGCCCTGGCTCTGTCAGCACACACAGACAAGGCACTGGGGTTAATAATGGTCTACTCTATTATAACTTTTACCTTCACAATTTCCTGGGCCAAGATCCCTCCAACCACAGCACACACAGGAGCCATCTCAGAGAAGCAGTATCTGGAAGAAAGAAGAGTGAACTGTCTCACAGCAGCATGGGAGGAGAATGGACACCTGCAATAGTCAGTAAGGGGCACCACTGGGCACAAGATCTAGCTGGGGTGTCCCTTCCGCCTGCCCAGACAGTGCCAACGCTGGCATCTAGGTGTAAAAATCTAACCTCAGGGGCTAACTGGTTGGGACAGACCTTTGAACTCTGGAAAACAAGAATCTCTGTGTGCACTTTTTTTAAGTGAAAGGAAAGACTATATCTGTGCTTCCTAAAAATAAGGTCCTACAAATATCAGATGTTTGAGTGCCCCGGGCACATTCCCGTAATTCCCCTCTTACGGCAATGGGCAGTGGGTTCTGTATGCTATTCCCAGAGCCAGCAGGGAGCAGGCCTGTGTTGACATGCAGGAAGCACGGGAAATGTGGGGTACAAAACAAAGTCTGCACAACCCACCAAGAAAGAAGCTCCTTCTAGGCCTGGATGGAGCATCCGGAGGACAAATCTCAGCCAAATAAACTGGTCCTCAAATCACCCATCCTATGGTACAAAACACCCACAGCCTCCCAGAGGAAGCTGTCTGGTTAGTTCCCACCTGTCAGCACGAAGGGTCAAGTTAGTGGAGCAAACTGGAACAAGGACACTTACATCCAAATACCAACTTGATCAGATCCAAGATCTGTTTATTGGTGGCATGTAAACTATTGACTACTGAGCCATGCAACCAATTATCCAGTTTGCTACCATGGTCCAAATACCCCCGAACAGGAAATTTGCAAACACAGAATTACCACGTCTTGCCATGTGTCACTAGCATACCTTCCAGAAGGCGACACCCATTCCTTCATTCTGAAAACCCAGAGGTGTCTTCCTCTGCTTATTAAAGAGCTCTACCACATATGGGACACCCAGAACCATAATGGAGCAACACTCATCTAATTAGATTCTCTGATCACCAAGCATGGCTGCAATTTTCCTTTTCTTCATATGTATAAATGTATTGCCTGCATGTATGTGTTGTGTAATGCCCATGGAGGTCAGAAGAGGCACTGGATCTCGGGAAAATGGAGTTATGGATAGCTGTTAGCTGTCATGTGGGTGCTGGGAATTGAACCTGGGTCTCTGCAAAAGCAGTCAGTGCTCTTAACCACTAAGCCATCTCTTTAGCCCCCTTTTCTTCTTTCTGAGACAGGACCTCATTATGTAGCACGTATTGGCCTCAGACTCAGACCTTCCTGCTTCAGGCTCTGGGGTGCTAGGGATTATAAGGCAGCACCACCACTTCCAGCTTGTTTTTGTGGTACTGTGGACTGAAACCAGGGTCATGTGCATGCCAGGCAAGCGATCTGCCACTGAGCTACATCCCAAGCCCCTCTTTTTACTTCTGAAACAAGATTTCACTAAGTTGCTGGAGCTGGCCTTGAACTTGTGCTCTTCTTGATTTAGCCTCCTGGGTAGTTAAGTGTTATAGAACATGCTACCAAACCTGACTTTCACACACACACACACACACACCACACACACCTTTATATTCTGTGAGTTCATGCTCTATAATACTTTGCTTCTTTCCTCCTCAAAAGAACTTTATTATTGTTGGGCGTGGTGGCACACACCTTTAATCCCAGCACGCAGTAGGATCTTTGAGTTTTAGGCCAGCTTGGCCTACATAGCAAGTTCAAGGCCAGCTGGGGCTACAGGGAGACCCTGTCTCAAAAGTGTATTATTTCAGCAAAATACTAGCAAACCAAGCCAAAAATAATGGATATGAGGACCTGGTGAGATTTTTTTTTTTTTTTTTTTTTTTTTTAACATTTAAAAAAAAAAAAAAAAAAAGGGAATGATGATCTGATTGACAAGAATCTCTGACACTGGTCCTGATATCTAATATAAATTCTGACTCATTTAGGGAAGAACAAAAAAAGAAAAGAAACAATGTTATACAGCATACTAATTCATCTAGCTGGGCCTAGTGGTGTGGACCTGTAACCCAGCAAGGACTTTACCACCACTGAGCTACAACTCCAGCCCCATTTAAATAATTTTAAAACTAGGAAGTTGGAGGGGCTGAGAAGATGGCCAGTCCATAAAGTGCTTGCCTTACAAGAAGGAGGACCTGGGTTCAGTCCCTAGCACCCACATTAAAACCAGGCCCACTACTGTATACCTGTGATCCCTGCAACTTGCTGGCCAACCAGTCCAGCAAGCTCTATATTCCGTGACAAACACCCTTCTCAAAAACTAAAGTGGAGAGTGACTGAGGAAGACACCCCAATTCAACACCCACATGAAAACACTTATGTGTGCACCTACCTACCTATCCACACACAAACCTGTAATTTAGGGCCCTGAGGGTTGCAGCTCAGTGTCAGTGCACAAGTTTAGACTGTTTAGGCCCGTTCAGTCAGTCTCCAGCAACAGCAGCAACAACAACAACAACAACAAATAAACCAAAATCAAAAGCAAAACAAAAAAGGCAGAACTGTGAAATCCCAGTAAGTTCACAGAAGACAAGGGCAAGTAAGAGGTCAGAACGGTCTATGTGCAGTCCTGGCAAGCCTTCACCTGTGGCAATGCTCTTCTCCCTGCCTCCAAAGTGACAGGAGTACAGCTATGTGCCAAGATGGCTGACTCAGGGCACACATTACAGGATCCCATTTAGAGAAGGCATGTACAAAAGAGTATAGCAGAAGCTAGGAGGAATAGCACAGGTGGTGTGGACAATGGTTGTGCAGTGAGGACCAAATTAACGTCAATGAACTGCTCACTTAATATGCGTATTTTTGTTTTGGAAACAGGGTCTCATGTAGTGCAGGTTGGCTTCACATACAATATACAGGCAGGTATAGTGGTACACACCTTTAATCTCAGCACCCAGGAGGCAGAAGCAGGAGATATCTCTGTGAGATCGAGGCCAGCTTGGTCTATATAGGGAGTTCTAGGCCACCTGAACTATAGGGAGACCCTGTCTCAAAAAAATTAAACACAAACCAAATGAAACCAAATGCAATACAGTGGAGGATGGCTCTGAACTCCTGATCCTTTTGCCCCTCTGCCTCTAGAGTGCTAAACATTTTAAAAGACACCATAAATTATTTTACATATAAAAATTATGAGGAGTCGGGCGTGGTGGCACACGCCTCTAGTCCCAGCACTTGGGAGGCAGAGGCAGGCGGATCTCTGTGAGTTCAAGGCCAGCCTGGTCTACATAGTAAGTTCCAGGACAGCTGGGGCCACAAGGGAGACCCTGTCTCCAAAAAAAAAAAAGAGGAGTTAGAGAGATGGCTCAGGAAGTAAGAGCACAGTTCCAGGGGTTCTATGCCTTGTTGGGTAAGCACCAGGCACATATGTGGTGCTCATATATACATGCAGGACGCACTGATCCTCTAAAGGACCTGAGTTGAATTCCCAGCACCCAGTCCTGGTGACTCAAAACTACCCATAATTTTGGCTCCAAGGGACCCTTCTTGATTCTGCAGACACCTGCACTCACATTCTTACACACATATACATAACTAAAATAAAATGTTTTTTAAAAATCTTTAAAAAATATGAATATTTATGAAGTGCTTACAATAGTGAGAAAATATACACCAATATACACACCAATGAAGCACTGGCTAAGTTAACTGTTCTACATCTAGGCAATTCCAAGCTACACAGTGCTATGGTTCTGTTTACTACCGTAAACAAGTTTTGGTTTACTGCAAAGAGGTAAAGGAATACAGATGATCCATTTTGATATTTAAACAGTAAAATGAGTAACATCACAAAGAAAATCTGTGAGCTCAGTCTCTCAAATGTTAGTAGCGGCTGAAACTATGGGCAATCTTTTCTCATAATCAGAAAAGCATTACAGCTCTTGGAGAAGAGAGCACTCAGAACATGAAGGCGAGCACCACATATGAAGAGGAGAGGCTTGTGCACGGATGTCCCTGCTCCACAGCAGCACCAAGCAATTTGTGAGAGTAGCTCAGCTGTGTGCCAGGGCTCAGCTCCTTGTTTGCACCGCTATTCCATCTCCTGGCTGGTCTGCACACAGACTTCAAGAGGCCTCTGGACAGCTCTTACTTAGGAGGCAATAGTTGACAGAGCTGAGCACATGGAACCTAGACATGGGATAGTTTCCACAGGGGCTGGGCAGTGAAGGAAAGCACCAGGGAGAGAAGAGCTAACTGTAAGCTGATTAGGCTGCCCATTCTGGGAAGCAGGGTCTTTAACTTTGCTGGCTGGTGAGGCAAAGCTAGTCAGTTCATCACTCTAAACACCCAAATGAGTCACTTGGCTGCATGCTCATGGCCCAGCATCAGAACCCAGGTATGTTGGGCAGCCACAATCTGCCTATGACTGCCTGGGTGGGTCTGTTGGAGGGAAGCTTGGCAGGACCAAGTTGTTCTTCAGGCTGAGAAGCACAGAGCAGGCAGCACCTGCTTCTCATGCTTGGATCCTTCCCACAGCAAGAGATGAGGGCCTGACTGAGATCGCTAAGACTGGAATGCTGCCAGCCCTGACCTCTCAGTGCCACCCTTACAAAAGCTCCTCATAGATCACTTCCTAGCTGTAGAGGACAACTTTCTGGTCCATGGCTCCACTGGCGGGGGGGAGGGTTCGGGGGAGAAAGCAATGGTGTTCCTACATGGCTAGTGCTGGGTGTGTAAGGATCCCAGCCAGAGAAAAGAGGGAAGACAATAGAAAGAAGGGCCTCCCTGGCAGAAACTGAAAACAGTAGATAGGCAACTGCTGGTCAGACCTGGGATGGCATCCCAGTGGGCTACCCTTAGGCAGAGCCAGGTGGGGTGGCACATACCTGTCACTGCATCATTCACAAGACCTTGCCTCCAAAGGCAACAACAAAACAACTGTATCTTTATGGATCTAGTTTTTCATTTAAATAATGGGGAAAGACTCATCTACAGCAGTTCAAGAGACCACTATGACAGACAAACACGGCTGCACAGAAAGCCCGTGATGCGTGGTAGCACTCTCGGGAGACAGTGTCAGACTTGTTACTTCACTTTTCTGAGCTTCTGTTTCCTCACCTACAAACTGCACTGCTATGAGGACTAAGGCAGATCATGAACATGAGCCACTATTCTGCTGCCTTCGAGGACTGCTGCTCAAGAAATTAATCACAGCAAGCACCGTGGCTATCATTATTAGTGCTGCTCCAACCTGGAGGCGCGGTGAAGCCAGTCAGACACGGCCAGGGAACTAGAGTGAGCACAAGATCCCAGAATGGCTTGGAAGTTCAAGGCCACTTGGTCCTGTACAATAAAATCCTAAACCCAACTGTGTGTGAGAGCAAGAGACTGTCACTTAAGAAGCCGAGGTACTGGATGCTGAGAACCCAAGGTCTCTGTTGGTGGAGGTAGATAAGCTTCCCTAGGGGATGACAAAGTGGCAGTACCTGCCACGTGCCAGATCATACCCTGTAGACCTGACCCTGCAACTCCGGTCTTACTCATTTATCCTGAACACATGTGCATGACACAAAAGCCTGGGCGCAATGGCAACAAGCAGGGAGCTGGAGTCCTCCTCAGGGTTCTGGGTCTCTACAAAGGCAAACAGTGACAGTGTGTGTCCAGGCTAAACACCAGTAGGCACTGACACCAACCTGATAAAGTCGTCAGGAAGCAGGTCAGGACTAACACTCAGTGAATCAAGGATGTCATTTCGAATCTGCAGCAGCAGCTCAGAGTCTTCACCATAGGTCTCAGAGCTGGGATCTCTTCCTTTATCAGTGCGGAATTTCAGGAGCACTGGGAAGGGGAAAAGAAGGGAGGTTATAAGCCACTCTTCTCTGCAGTCACAGAAAAAGTCAGACACAGCACCTCATAAACCAGGTGTGGTGCTCAGGCTATAGTCCCAGCATTTGGAAGATGGAGGCAGCAAAGATTAGGAATTAAAGGTCAGATACACAGGGTTCAAGGCCAGCCTGAGCTAAATGAGACCTTGTCTCAAAAATCAAAATATAAGAAAAAACAACACTTTTTATTATTTATAGGAAGTAATACATTGACAACATGGGCCAAGTGAAAGGTAATCATACTTTCCATTCATCTAGTAAATACAGTCAAAGGCAACTATTTACGAAAAGACAACTACACTTTATCAAGTGCTCAGATAGTATAAAGGGATCTGAGCCCAGCTACAGACAGCCACGTCAGGGTAGCCTCAGGTAAGGCTTCCCTGAGGAAGCAGTAAGATATGTGTGGGAAGAGTGCAGGGAAACCACCAGCAGAGGGAAAGGCCCTGTTATGATCCGCAGAGGTGAGGTAAGAAGCCTGCATTCTAGGCATCAGTTCAATGGCTGCTTTAACCAGAAAGGACAGCCAAATATTCAGACTCACCAGACAGGCAGGTCCTTACAAACCAACCTCCCTTAACTCAAGAACTATGTCGGCTTCCAGGAACTGATGTGCAATTGTTTTGTTAGGCAGGGGAAAGGTGCCACAATGGCTTAGAGCCAGAGTCACGGTGTAAGGAGACCCCAATGAGGCTGAACTTCTAGTCCACATGACACCAACAGGCATGATTCAGCTGTCACAACATAATCACCTTCTGCTGCTACTGCACCTTGTCTCCAATGTCACCTGTGTGCTGGGTTGGCAGGCATTTGTGCTCCCTGTGATTCCCAAAGCAGAGGGACCACTGGTCTTGGGTCTTGCCCCTAAGAGTAATAAACTTTCTCCCACACAACACAGGACACTTCAAAGTGGAAGTAAAGACACATGCATTGGTGTTTAAGCCCTGGGTGCTCTGGACAGCACTTCATAATCAGATAGGGGCTTTACAGTTGGCCAAGTACATTCAAGTTTCATTATCTGGAGACTGAAAAAGTAAATGTACCTGGTGAATTATGCTGTCAGTACATGGGGATCTTCCCTAAAAATTAAGGAAGGTTGAAAAGTCATGCAATCTGAAGTTGCTTTGTTTCTTTTTGTTGTTATTTCTGAAACAGGGTCTCCCTACAGCCCCATCTGGCCTGGAACTCGATATGTAGAGCAGGCTAGCCTCAAACTTTTGGAGATCCACCTGTTTCTGCCTCCCAAGTGCTGGGACTAAAGGTGTGCACCACCACACCCAGCCTGCCTTGAGACTTTTAACACCCCAAGCATTTGGAATGTGCCGCACACTAAAGAACCTGAGTTTACCAACATGCTGTGCCTCCATTTCCCTGGTAATTCTGATGCACAGAAGTCTGTGTATGGAAGGCTTAAAAGAATGCCTGGGGAACATGGTGGCACACACCTTTAATCCCAGCACTTGGAAGGCAGAGGCAGGCAGATCTCTGTGAGTTCCAGGCCAGCCTGGCCTACATAGCGAGTTCCAGGTAAAAGCCTCTTTTCCCAACAATGTCCCATGAAAACAATATCAGATACCAGGTAGTTCAGCCACACCAGAGCCTCTACTGGGCCACATGGAGTGACAGCAACTAGTTCTGTCAGTGACTCCCCAGAAGACAGGGTACCAAAACCAGAGTTGGTAGCTGCACTGCTAGAAAAGAGGATGGAGGTGATGCCCAGTGCAGGCCAGGTGACTTGTAACAGCAATCAAGAAGTCAGCTTGCAAACTTTTGTGGTGGGGAGCAACAGTCCCAAGCAGGTACCCCCTAACCCCGGCCTGCATGCATCTCTCCTTACTGTGTCATTGGGACAGAAGCATCAACCACCACAAGGGACCAGGAAATGTTGATAATTTTCCAGTCTTTACCACAAAATGCTATAAAATATAATAGTGTTCGGTGTCATGCTGAACATGCTACATGTGTGAGCACCATATCTTCACAACAGTGGGAGGTCAGGAAGAACCATCACCTAGCTACTCGCAGAGGAGCAGGGCTGGAAACATAGGTCTGACCCTAATGGAATCCAGAAGTGGAGAACCATGCAGGAGCGGGCACCAAGGATCCTAAGTTGCCTGGTTCTTTGCCCCCAGTGGACTGTGTTTTTGTGAGGTCTATTTTCTAGATGGGTCCTGAACTCTCACAAAGGCTCCATTCATTGCAAGCGAATAGACCAGAGGGTGAACAGTGAGTGGAAAAGGAGGTCACGGAAAATCTTGTCCCTCTGTTCTCAGAGAATAAGACCAGCTTTGCCTCAGAAAGAAGGAAGATGGCACCAAGGAAGGTGGGGGCAGCCAGCAGAGGGCCCGGGCCTGCTCCCAGTGTGTCTGCCTGGACAAGGACCGTCAGGCTGGCACCGTGCATATACCTCACTGACCACATCTGACGTGCTCTCAGGGCCACTGGGAAGGCAGCCAGCAGCTAGGCCACTTATTTGCAGTAAAGCAAGCAAAAGCTGTCTTTTTCACTCTTTTTCGAATGTCAGCACTCCAGTTAGCAGGGGTGGAGGGGGAGGGAAGAAACCCATGTTCTGGAAATAGAAAGGCAGCGGCCTCAGGACTGACCCCGGCCCCTCACGAGCTCTTCTTTTTACATTCTGCTCTTTGTTCTGTGTTCCGCTGCTCCTGAACAGCCACACACACATCACTGTTGACTCTGCATTTCTGAAAAGTGCCTCCCTACCAGTTCAGATTATAAACCCATTCCATTCAGATCAGATGCGGTCAGGGACGAAGAGCTGCTCGCCAAAAGATGACTCATTGGATCGTATCAAAACATTGTACAAAATGAGAGTTCCAAACTTGATTAACTTCATCTGAACCTTTTAATTAAGTCAGGCTGTTCAAGTCCAGAGGGATGACATTCATAGCTGGAGATGATGGACTAGTGTCTCTGCTGAAGTTCAGGACTTGCCCAAGGAATGGAAAAGACAAACTTGGAGAGTAAGAAAACAAGTGTCTTTTCACATATTTCAAAGAAAAACTATGTGCACATACTACCATCGATGCAAAAAGATTTAAACATACTAAACTTTAGTCTGAATTCAGAATATCAGATTAGTGCTACTAGTAGCTGTGGAGGCATATACAGAAGATCAGAGTTCAAATTTGAGCCCATCCTAGGCTACATAGCAAGACACCGTGTCAAAACCCAAAAATAATAGCAGCATTATTACAGGGGCTAGGGATGGAGCATTTACCCAGCAGGTGTAAGGCCCTGGGTTCCATTCCCAGGACGACAGAAGCCAGATCCAAACCATCAAGTGTCACAAATCAGCCCCCAATACAACTATTACCTCAAAACCAGGTCAAGTAAGGGGTGGAGAACTGAACTTACATCAAATCAAAACCTTATTTTCCTGATTGATGCCTAAGGTTTTCTACCCAGATACTATAGCCTCATCTTGTTGAGGTCAAGAGGCTCCCTCAACCCCAGCTAACTCACATAGTAAGGACTCCCCACGTCTGGGGACATCCTGGTTACACACGCATTCAGGAAAACACCAAATGCGAAAATACTTTTAGCTAATAAGCTCCCTTTGTTTTTGTTTTCTTAATATTTTTTTATTTTTGCCTTTTTGAGACAGGGTCTCCCTGTAGTCCCAGCTGTCTTGGAACTCACTATGTAGACCAGGCTGGCCTCAAACTCACAAAGATCCACCTGCCTCTGTCTCCCAAATGCTGGGATTAAAGGCATGCGCCATCATGCCTGGCCATTGTTTTTATTTTATGTGTATGAGTGTATTGCCTGCATGTATGTGAGTGCACCTGTGTTGTGCAATGCCACAGAGGTCAGAAGAGGGCTTCAGATTCCCCTGGAACTGGAGTTAAGGAAGCTTCACAGCCACCATGTGGGTGCTGGGAATCAAACCCGGGTCCTCTGCAAGAGCAGCCAGTGTTCTTAACTGCTGAGCCATCTCTCCAGCCCCTTGTTTTTTAGAAACAGGGTGCCAGTATGTTGTCCACGCTAGTCTTAAATGCTTGTAGCAGTGATCCTCTTAGTCTCCTTAGTGCTGGAACTAATCTGGGAAGTATGCACACCACCACCTGCCTTCTAGCAAGCTTCCTCTCTCTTGGTTTCCCAATAGGACTGCCCTATGTAGTCCAAGCTGGCTTGAAACTCCAATCCTAATTCAGCCTCCAAGCAACTAGGACTCCAAGACTACACTACCTAACCTAACCTCTTCCAGCAGGTTAACTAAGGAAAGACTCCAGGCCTGATTATCAAGTCAAACATCCACTCAGTTAATGAATACTGACCTTGTGCTCAGTTCAATGCTAGGCAGGGGAAAGCATCCTGCCATGGCAAACAACAAAAACCTCACAGGAGCTAACCCTGCTAACTACAGAAGCCTTGAAAGGGCCCTAGGGGTACCAGGGAGTCATCTCAGCAGCCAGTCTCCCTGACTGGCAGACCTATAGGGGTCCCCATGCTTGGCACCCTCTGCAAGGGTTGCATCTTCTCTGTGCCAAGGTCCTCCCAGGCCTGTAGAACGACCATGCTGGAGGGTGCCCCAGAGCACCAGAGAGCAACCACGTGGCTACAGTCCCTATTTCCCACCAACTGTATTACTGGACAAGTGACAATATCCCTAATCCTATTCTAGAAAATGTGAATCCCAAGAACATTTAGTTGAGGTGTCCAAGGCCTAAAGGAACTGTGTTTAAGCCCAGGGGACAGCGCTTGGTGCAGTTAGCATGCTGTGAGCTCTTCTAGTTCTGTCACTTGCTCAGGGACCCCAGCTCACATGGCAGCTGGAGTAGGACTGGCTCTGGTGGCCTGTGTGGGGGCCGCTCCTGCTGAAATTACTCATTTAACTGTGTTACCAGCAGACTCAGCTTTCTTTTCTCTTCTTTCCTTCTTTTTTTAAGACAGAGCCCTTCCCCTGTAGTTCAGGCCTCAAACTTGCAGCAG